GGGGGTTGGACTAGATGACCCACAGAGGTCCCTTCCAACCCCTACCGTTCTGTGATTCTGTGATTCTGTGATTCTCCTTTTAGGCTCTAGTGTTAATGAGCTTCGACAAGCAGAAGTGAAAATTATAAGCACTCAGATTTGTAATAGAAGAGAAGTGTATAGTGGAGCAATAACAGCTGGAATGTTGTGTGCTGGATACTTGGAGGGGCAGGTGGATGCCTGCCAGGTAAGTCTTTTCACAGGTAATAGTAAAAAAAAATAGGTGGGATGGGAGGTTATGTTTCCTAGAAATAACATATCCTTTGGGGAATCTCAGTTAAGTTTATGGGGTTCAATATCTTGACAGATGTAAATGAAGAGCTTCATGGCTCATGGGCTGAAGTCTGCACTTAGGTGCTTGGGGTTTATATATAGTGTACATGTGAGAGAAAACAGATGTGAGGGTGTGGAGTGGGAGAGACTGAATTAGACATAGGTTGTCAGCCACTGTCTGGTCAGTAGACCATGGGGAGGTTGAATTATAGGTGTAGTCTAGAGACAAATATCTGTCAGTTGTAACAGAGCAATTTGAGGCTTGCTGCATTAGCGAGGTGAACACTGTTTGCTTTGTTCTTGCCTGTTGATGTTTTTCTCCTTAGGGTGACTCTGGTGGGCCATTGGTGCAGGCGAACTCCAGAGGAATCTGGTATCTTGTGGGAATAGTGAGCTGGGGAGATGAATGTGGAAAGCGAAATAAACCAGGAGTGTACACGCGAGTGACTTACTATCGAAACTGGATCAACTCCAAAACGGGCATCTGAAACTTGCAGCGGGTTAAGTTTTGTGGGCTGTGTACGGCTATTCCTCTGACACGTTCTGCTCTGTGGTTACCCTCTAAACAGCTGCTGGCTTAGCTTGTGGTCGTGTATCAAGTGCCGGCAAGCTTGGAGTAGTCTAGGACTTGAAACTGGTTTGGCCTACAGCCAGACAGGAACAGACTTGATCCACGTGACAGCTGTGTGTTCAGGAAGTACTCTGTCAAAGGGACAACTGCCTTCATCTATATGCAATATACTGACCTTTTCTCCGTGGCCAAATGTTTTGGCCCCTACTTTTATACTGAGGCAAAGTGTTTGAGCCCAAACAATCACTTACTATCATCCAAGACAAGTTATAACTAAAACATGGCCTGCCTATTTGCTGTGTGCTCCCAAGGCCCTGTCTGTCTGTAGACCAGCTGCAGTCCAGCCCCTGACTCCAAGGCTGCTGTGCTGCTGAATTCTCGAGCTTTTTCCTACACCATTCCAGGGACTGTACTCTAATGAAGAACAAAAGATGGCTTAGAGAAGTCCTGGTTCCTAATATCATGTTGGACTGTTACTTAGGTGAATAGAGAATTTTTTCTTGTTGTGTTGTCCTGAAAAACTAATCAGTGGAAAATACTAGCTTCTTTGAACAAGTGTATGTGTGCCCACTCATTGTTTCATACAAACAGCCCCTACCACAGTGTTTGCTGTGAGAATGATTGCTGGACTTAAAACCGAAAACCATGTTACATTCGTACCAGTCTGTTGTTATATCAGAGTGTTTGGCTGAATTAATTTCCTTTTTTAACTTTCCAGATTGTATTGTTCAGAATAAAAGTTCTTGGCTTTTTGTGCAGGATGGAAGATTGTAACAATCTCAGTATGACCACTGCCAAAAGAAACCCCCTCTCAAATTGCTTGTTCGTGTGAATGCTGTTCTCAGATCTTTATAATTTAATATGTGCATCTTCAGCTGCATCCTAAAAAAAAAAAAAGCTTTTGTGTTATCGTGAAAACACCTGTCTCCTTCAGAGCAGGTCAGAACCTCTGACTGACCCTTCTGACTAAGTAATCTTATGTAAAGATCTTCCTCTCCTGTCAGGAAGTACGAATTGCCGGTGTCTCATTGCTAGACCAGAGCTAACTCATTTGAGCTGAGCCACACGAACTTCATACTGTCTCTGACTTCATGTTTTCAGGAACCCATGTTTCTGCCTACCACAGAGATCTCAAACACTTTCTACAACCTAGCAGTGGAACATGCCTATTCCTAGTGAGCACGTTTTCCTTGGTGTGTCTGCAGACTCTTTCCAACACTTTGTGTGGATGCTGATTCTGACAACAGCAAGAGCTGTGGTCTTAGTTGCTAGATAAGCAGCCCCTCAGTTGCTCTCTTTTTGCTCTGTGGTCAGACGAGAAAAGAGCTCAGCAATGGAGATACCAGCCACGCTGCCAAGACTCGGAGCTGTTCCAGTGTGGCAAGCAAGCAAGAGTCTTATGCCATGCTAGAAAAGGCAAGCAGCTGGCTTTCGGCATGCTCATAGTTGGAAGATCAGGGGGAAACAGGCCCTCAGTGATTATGGTCTTAAGATCAAAGTGTTGTCCAAATCGAGTACAAGTCAGTTGACATAGTCAATGGCAGTTCAGGGGATTCCCTCTGGGCTGTGCAGCTTGCTGCGAATGCTGCCAAACAGAGCAGCAATCCATTGAGTTAACAGAGGTGTTTTGATTATGCGTCCTGTGATCTGGCTGCTTGCCAGTACAGAGAACCGTTCTTTTCTAGAGCATCACTGGAGGTACTGGAATATTTGGATGCCAAAAGAAGGTCTGCATGGAAGACAAGGGTCTGCAGCTGTTGTGTGTTCTATATTTGTGTATATCAGGAAATCTGGCACTTCAAAAAATTTTACTCATGGAACTTTTCTTGTGGAATGTTGTAAGCTTCAGAAACATAACTTTGTGGCTTTACTTCTACATAGGGAGTAAAAAGCGTCAGACCGGTTCTGTAGGTCTGTTGAGCCCAACAAATCTCATTTTAGTTCCTTGAGCAGAACATGACTTTGAAGTATGTTGCTTATAGACGAAGTTCAGAAATTACGTATGACAAGTATAGATAATTTTTTTCTTGCTAGTAGCAATTGTCTTACCAGGACAGTGAATAAAATTTGATCTTCATGAAGAAAAGCGTTATTACAAGATGCCATGGATTTCCAGTTCCCAAAGCACTTTAAGCTTGGGTTTTCAAAGGGCATAATGCTGGATTTCATTGTAACTTGGAAACAATATTTTTAGGCTTGCAAATCCTGGTTACGTCAGTGGTTCACCTAAACAGGTAAGTAGGTGTCCAAAAAATTTATTTTGCATCTGTGAACTTTCCACTTGCGTTTATTTTGGGTATAAAATCAGAAAGCCTTAAGTGTTCTGCTCTGTATCAAGGGCTGCAGTAAATGTCATTTTCCAGAGTGGTGTACACAAGGCTGAAAAAGTAAACCCATCATTTGTTGGAGGAGCTACCAGTTCCGAGCATCTACTTGGAGAGCTACAGCGGCTGATCCACCACCTTAATGCCAAGTGCCAGCACAGAGCAGCTGGGAGGAGGAGGGCTGAAGAGGACCTGACATCTACGTGCCGTATGTTTTCGGAGCCTTTATTTTTGACTGCCTTGTGCAGTTTTCCTGACAGCAGCTGGAACAAGTCTTCTGATCTGGTTTCTTCTGGCAGCAATGTGGTTTACATGCTCTGAGGCCTCCTGGTGATGCAAAGCAGTTGTCCTGCAGTAACAAAAACGTCCCTGAATTATCATTGCTGTTTTCAGCACAAACCCAAAGCGTAGCCTCATGCTAGCTTCTGTGAAGAAAATCAGCTCTATCCCAGCCAGAACCAGCACAGCGGTGTGAGAGGGGACTGTCAAGACGAGTGCTTGACAGACCACTCCTCGTCCACTGGGGATGTTGGTGCGGATGGCCGTGGTGGGTCTGAATCCCTTGCTCATGGCAAAACTGCACCGCTGTCAGCATTCTCTGGCTTTTCCTGAGGGGGGAACGATGGAAACTTGAAGCAACGTAGGCGGCCAAACTGTTTTGTTTGCTTTAGGGTTATTCTTTGTAAGGTGCGGTCTCACCTCTTCGGGAAGCCACACGTGCCATCTTCTCTCAGCCATGTTTTTGCAGGAATTGACGTCTTCGCTCGAGGCAGAAGGGGGTGTATCCAGCTATACGGCCGTGCATCACGCACAGGACTGTAATTTATAGATACATTTAATAAAATCCGTTAAGAATTTGCTTCCCGTTTCACGTCCGTGTTGGCATCGCCCTGCGCCCCGTGCCGCGGGTTTACCTGCTGGCCGCCAC